TAGGAGCGGAGGAATGAATTTTCAAAAGCGCGGAGAAACCCCGAACGGATCTCCGACTAGTCCAATGAACGTCGGTTTAACATACGAATGTTTGCGATATAGGCTCCATTTTTTACGGAATTTGTGATTTGGTNGTGGGTGAATAAATCAACTGAAAAACATAAAGTAAACATTGAGTACAAGGTGGGCAAAAATCCTTCTACGTACTTGACCCTGTCACAGCAGGACTGCTACTGCCGAGTTAGTCACGCAACCCGACTCACATTTACCGACAATTCGACCGGGACGCCGCCTTTCCCGTGGGGTACCAACTAAAATTATTGAAGTCAGTCATATCCCCCGATCCGGGCCTCTACACAGGTCTATCCTCTTTGGATCAGAGTTTCATAGCGGTGGCGCGCATGAACTAATCGAGAGGCCGTCTCTGTGGGTAAAGAAATTTTCATCTATTAACATGGAAACAGTCGATAACAGAGATGCGTTCCCAATNACCCCGAACGGCTTTCCGACGTCGAGTGAGCCCGAAGGGGCTTTCACGATTTGAAAATTCATTTCTCCCCCCCTAATGAAAATGAAGGAATGAAACCGATGCCGATCGATAGAGAATTAAATTCTCAATAAATGACGGCGGTTTCATTCCTTAATCTCAAGTAGGAGCGGAGGAATGAATTTTCAAAAGCGCGGAGAAACCCCGAACGGATCTCCGACTAGTCCAATGAACGTCGGTCTAACATACGAATGTTTGCGATACAGGCTCCATTTTTTATGGAATTTGTGATTTGGGCGTATGAAACTAATGGCGGATATTTAAGGTTCCCCAAGTTTGTGCGGGGGTTGAAAAAGCCAAAAAACTACCCCTGAAAACAGTTTTTTCGAAATAACTCGTGAATAACGCGCTGTGCGTCCAAAAACGTACTACATAAAGTTGTAGAGATCAAAATTCTACACAAAAAATGTTGAGGGCACTTTATCCCTATTCGCAACCGTTAATCCCCCAGAGCCGCGTGAAGATCAGATGGGAAAAAAAATGTGTTCCATTAAAAAAATTGAAGTTGATAAATTTTTTTTTTTGTAATTCGGAATATCAGTGTTTTTTTTTTCAATAGCTTGTTTATTTATTCAGAGCGAATCTAATATATGTTGCTATTTATATCTTGACATTGAATCAATGAATTTCTTTTTTTTTTCCATATTTTTTATTAGAAAATTTACCACAAATTTTGTCTTGATCATACCCGCGCATCTCCTATGGATTCAAAGTTGAACGCAATTTTCTAGCANGAGTGAAAAAAAATCAGGGAATTTAACTCTGCCATTATGGAGTTTTTGACGAGTGAAGTTTATTCACTGTACCCTGACACTTCTCTCTATTGTATTTACCGAGAAAAAAAAACGTTGTCCCTGGGAATCGACGTGTCTTTTTTAGGCAGCTGCATTTCTGAAATGCAATGAGCAAGCAATGTTAAAATTAAGTCATTTTGTAAAAAATTTCTAGTGACATGATCCTGAAAATCAAAGGAATGTCTTGAAATCAGGAATGATGNATCTCCTATGGATTCAAAGTTGAACGCAATTTTCTAGCATCAATCCCTAAATCCGGCGCCGTGAATGAGAACCTTTTATGCGAGAGAGAAGTCTCCGTCTCACCGCCACTCCCTGCAGTATTGTTCAGACTATTTGCGCATGCGCGCACGGGCGTGTGGATCGTCACGGACTGGATGCGAGAAAAAGAATCATTTGAGGTCTTTCGTCAGCCGTTCGCTCTCTCTCCCAATCTCTCTCTCTCTCTCTCTC